GGTGTTCTGGCTGGGGAAAGGTCATCCCTTCCCGGAGCCAGGGGACTGGACGAGATGATCCTGCCAGCCTCATGATTCTCCCTTCCAGGCACCAGGAGAAGTCACCCACCCCGTCTTGGAGGCAGCTGCCAGTGGGGGACAGCCCACTCAGCCCCCACTCCTCATCCCCCCATAGGGGCCGAGACCCACGGTGCACCTCCTCAGGGAAGAGGGAGGAGAGATACTCCTCTGAACATCCCAGAGGAAGGACTCCCACATCTTGGATTCATGAGGAGACAGACAGCCAGGGAGCTCCCACCAGGGCCCCCACCTCCCAGAGATTCCGAGCCCCTGAAGCCACCACCAAAGGGACACCAGCAAGAGGACTATCTCCACTGCCTCGTTCCTCCAGCCCAGCCAAGCCCATGGGCCTCAGGCCACAACCCAGGGGTGAGGCTGAGGGTGCTTCCTCCCAGCTCAGGGAGCCAGCAGCTGTCCGCTCTCTGTCCCCTGTTAAAGCGCCCGCCAAGATCTCTGTCCAGCTGCCCCCTGCCTGCCCCCCCACTCCAGGAAGCAGCTTTCCAGGTATTGCAGGTGGAGGTCCCATGACAGAATTGGGGAGTGGCCCCCTCCCAAGGGCTGTCCTTGGGGACCTGGCTGGGTGCAGACATGGGGACTTCTCTGCGGATGCGAGACAAGGGGACCAGAAGTCGGATACCCAGGTGACAGCAAAAGCTGGGGAGGCCTGGGGCCTGGGCCCACAGGAGTGGGAGGAGCAATATCCTCCCCTGCCTCTGGGTGCAACCAAGGATCAAGCTATCTACCATAGTCTCGAGGAGGAGCTTTTGGCCAACATGAAGCTGCTAGAGGTGGGGGGTGCCTGCCCCCAGGGCACAGGGTCTGGAGTTATCGCTCGAAGTGGAGTCTATGTCCCTAGCCTAGGTGGGCGCTGGCCTGAGCCTGGGGGTCCTTATGACAAAGTCATCCAGGAACTGGCTCAGGGCCCCCCACCCCTCCTTAAAGTGGACCTGGGAGCCTGGAAGGCAGCCTCTACAGGTTCCCCTAAGCTATCTGTTACCACTGGCCCAGGAAGCCCAAAAGGGAAACCGGAAGCCAGAGAGAGTGGGCCAAAGGTAAAGGCAAGCCTGAGTGCCAAGGGTACAGGGATGAAGAAGGGACCAGCTCAAGGAAGGCAGGACTGCTCAGCCCCCACTGTGTCTGCCAGCCTGGAAGCCCCCACACCTTCACCCTCAGACCCCAATTCTGACAAAACCCAGGCATGTCCAGGCAAGGCCAAGAGAACACTCCGAAAGCCCCAGAGAGTCCCATCCATCTACAAGCTGAAGCTGAGGCCCAGAATCCGGCCCCGGAGAGACCACAGGCCTGGGAGGCAGCCTTCACGAATCCCCAGGCCACTGACCTACCTCCACCTGGGTTCAGCCAGGGCACCCCCAAGGGGCAGGCCAGTGAGAGCACTGGGCAGCAAGGGAGTGGGGGCAACCCCAGTGGATGGAGCCTCAGCAGGGAAGGAGGAGGAAGGAACGAAGAGGGAAGAACCAGCTGCCCCACTGAAGAGCAGCCCCCATCCTTTGGAGGGCATAGGTCTCCAGCAGCTTGATCAAGCCCCACTCCCACCCGAGGACGAGTCCTGGGTCTGAGGAGGAGCCTTCCCAGCCTTGAGCTTGTGAGTCTGGGGGAGAAGGGAGGTGAAAAGGATGCCATGTATCCACTGGACTCCCAGCTGCAGGAACAGAGGGGCCTTGGCAGGGGAGAGGGTGTGGGTGGGGTCAGAAGACAAATATAGGTTCAATCTGCTTGTTGGGCAAAGGGGCAACAACTCACTCCCACTCCCGGGGCACCGGGGCCACCCTATGTCTTCTTGCCTCCCCCCAGAACAGCCCCCCAAACTCCTGGCCTCTGGCTATGGCCACCATTTTCACAACACCTTTAAGTTATTAAACCCTTGTGGGTCTGTTTCAGAGCCCCAAACTTCTTGAGTCCCTCACTCGAGGATTGTGGTGGTGCAGGAAGGCACAGTTTCAAGGGTTTTCCCAGGTGCAGGAAGGAATAGCTTCAAGCGTTACCCACTGGAGTGGAAGGGGATAAGGGACAGGGAGCGGGGGTGAGAGGTTTCCTCTCTTGAGGCCCCGCCAACCTTGCCAGACAGCCGCTCTCTCCTGGAAGCCACTGGTGTGTCAGCACCAAGGACAGGGACACACACAGGCCTTCAGGACTTCAAAGCTTTGCTCCGGGTTTTGGGAACTGAGATCACTGGGAGTCAAGAGGGATGGTGGAGAGTGTTCCTATCATATCTACAGCCGCGAATGGGCTACAGCGGGTCAGCCACAAGTGGGAAGCTGGGATTGAGTCCAGTTATGAAAGTGTTCCCGAGAGGGGCGCCTGGGTGGCTCAGTTGGTTAAGCGACTGCCTTCGGCTCAGGTCATGATCCTGGAGTCCCGGGATCGAGTCCCGCATCGGGCTCCCTGCTCAGCGGGGAGTCTGCTTCTCCCTCTGACCCTCTTCCCTCTCGCGCTCTCTCTCATTCTCTCTCTCTCAAATAAATAAATAAAATCTTAAAAAAAAAAGAAAAAAAAAAAAAAGAAAGTGTTCCCGAGAGTGGCGGGGGGAGACCTTTCCACTTCCCCCTCCAGTGGTTTTGATCAGTGTGGGAGGGCTCAGAGGCTAGGTGGAGAGGTGAGTCCCAAACTCTTCTTAGTTCTCCTGGTTGACCCAGGCTCTGGGACTCAGAGCAACCTCATCGCCCTGACGGTCCTTCCACAGCAGAGCTCAGCAGGCAGGCCCTGTAGGGGAGCCCTTTCCCTCCCAGGGCAGGAACTGAGCCAACACCTTGTACAGAAACAAGGGAAAACACTCCCTGATTTTTAATCTGACTTCCGATCAGATCAGCGCAATGGGCATCACACACACTTCCAGACCCTGTGGTGGGAAACCCTGGGGGGGGGGCGGTGGAGGGAATCAAAATCAAATACCTGGAGTGCAGTGGAGGGGGTGAGGGGGGCCGGCCAGGCGATACATTCTAATGGCTCCCATAAGGGAGAGCCAGAGGCCTGGGTTCCCCATGCCCACCTCAGGTGCCTCAGCTGGGGGTGACAGTGATGGGGGCAGGTGAGATGCTGCCATCCCTCACCCCATCCCCCTGGTGAACCAGGGGGCAGGAATGCAGGGGATAAAAGAGGCAGGCCCTCTTCCTTACCCTCCCAGACACTTCAAGGTGTGGGGAAGGGGAGCCACCTCCTCTGTTTCTGAGGGAGGCTCAGAGAGGGCGGGTCACTTGCCCAAAGTCATGCAGCACAGCAGGGACTAGTACCCAGGCATACCGGACCGCCAAGGTCAGGGCAGTCACTGCAGGGCTGTGCTACACCCCACCGGTGGAGGGAGAATCAGCTGGGGAAGTGGAAGGGAGGATCAGATTCCCTCTCACAATGGATCTGGATAAATTCCCTACCCATGACCCCTCCCCCCCAGACTCTGCTCCATCACCACTCTGGGCTACCTGATCTTCTGGTCTACACACTGCAGCTGGGCTACACGGAGGCTGGGTTGATCTATCTGCCCCTCTTCTAACAAGGGACATTCCTATCCTCCCACCACATCAGGACTCAGCCTCAAGGAGAACTCAGCCAGGGGCAGGGGACACGCACCATTGCTCCCACCCTCCAAGTACCCCAGTAATCCCTCAGGCCGCTCCTAGTATCTTCATGGATTTTGTTATTTCTAAATCGGTACAAAACTGACAGTGATCAGCTCCGGTGACGAGAGGTAGAAACCGGCCAGGCAGCCGGAGAAAATGGGGTGGAGTGAGTCAGGGCATAGGTCCAAACTGGTGTTGGGACAAGGGGGCATCAGATCCTGAGGGCCTCTATATAGGGGTAGGGGTGTGGGCATATCTCCCCCAAGCACAGGGGTCCCCATAATTCTTTTAGTGGCTCCGCCCCTCCCCAGATTTATCAGAGAAATCTGAGATTCAAGGCAGGCAGGGTCGGGGGCACTCAGATTGGAGTGGGATGGGGAGATAAGAGTCTTTACTAGCACAACCTAACCGCTCTCCCCCAACCCCGGGACACCATCTTGCCCACCACCAGCCCCTCAAACCCAACATCCCCCAATCTTGCAAACCACCCAACACAGGAGGGAATAGAGGGCTGGAACCTGGCATCGTGGAAATAAATTTATCCTTTGGGGGATTCCCTCTCCACACTCCCGTCGAGAAAAAAAAAGTTTTAACCCAGGGGGTGATCTGGCTTTGGGGTCAGGAAGGGGATGAGGGGCACCCGGCAGGGATGGACCATCGAGTTAAGGCTGGAAGGTAGGTTGTTGTGTCTCTGGGGGCTGCTGGGCGGGGAGATCTCCCTGGAAGGGGGAGAGCTCAGCCTTCTCCTCCTGACTGACCTGGGATCTCAACCCTTGGACCCCGATTACGGTCCTTGGGCCACCCGCAACTCTCTGCCCTGTGCCGGTGGTGCTGACGGTCCAAAGGCTGGCCTCACAGAGAAGCTGCCAGGATCTGCGACGAGGGGATGAATGAAATGAGAGCCCTGTGAACGGAGCTGGGGGCAGGAGGGTGGACGGGAGGGTGGATAAGACAGCTAAGGACCAACAGACGCTTGGACAGACAGACACGGGGAAAGAAGACGCAGGGCAATGACAGACACACTCTCTGGAGTAGACGGGTGGGGGCCCCGGCCAAGGCAGCACCTCCCCACCCCCACGCCCCGCGCTCCACCCTCGCGATCCCAAAAGGCCAAGGCGCCCCTTGGGGCCCCGCTCGGGGCACGGCGCTAGCTACAGCACTAAAGGCAGCGGGCCCAGGAAGACCGATGCGGAGAGGGGCTGGGCCCGGCCGTTGCAGGAGGCTCCCTTTCGTCCCCCGCCACTCCCCGCGAGGCGCGCGGCTGCGCGGTTGTGCCAGGCCGGGCGCGTCAGAGTCCTTCCCCCGGCGCCCCCCCAACGCCCGAGCCCCGCAGTCCCCGGGGTGGCCCCCGCCGGGGCAGGCGCGGCATCACATGATGGCGCAGCGGTTGCGGCGCAGCGCGCCCTGGAAGCGCAGGGCGGCGTGCACGTGCTTGCAGCGGGCGCAGCCGACGCTCTTGAGCAGCTCGCTGAAGAGCAGCAGGATGTGCCAGTTGTACTTGGCCGAGCACTCCACGTAGCCGCACTTCCAGGTCTTGCGCACCAGGTGTGACACGTTCCAGCGCGGGATCACGCGCCCGCGCTGCAGGTCCCGCTTGTTGCCCACGATGATGATGGGCGTCTCCGAGGTGCCGATCACCCTGTGGGGTGGGGTGGGGTGGGGTGGGGTGGGTGTGGGGATCTCAGAACTCCGCAGGCAGGTCTCACAACCCCTGGACTTCAAAAAGGGCGGGCGGTGCCTGGTCAGTACTGCTACCACGATACCTCTGTTCCAGGCGCAGCGCTCAGCCCTCAGGGTGCCTTATATGCTCTAATCAGAACTGATTTAAAAGGCGGGTACAATTGTTATCCCCATCTTACAGATGAGGAACCTGAGGCTTATCTGTTAACTGGCTTAAAGTGATGCAGGTAAGTGGCCCTGGCAGTTTTGTTCCCAGAGCCCCTGCTCTTAACCACTGTATTAGACTAGCCAGCCACCCCATGGTAAGAATCCCAAAGTGTGTTATTAGAAATGGGGACAGTAAAATGTGTATGTTTGAATGTGTGTGCTGGAACCAGAGGGTACTTCACCAATGTCCCACCCTCCCTGCCCTTGCACCCTTTCCAGGGCAGTGGTTAGCACTGGGGCACCCACTGAGGTGGTAATGGACTGTATCCTGGCCCCTCACCTCGTTTCTAGGATCTGCTGGCGGATGGTCTTGACGTACTCAAAGCTGTCAAAGCAGCAGATGTCATAGACCAGGATGTAGGCGTGGACGCTCCGGAGTCCTCTGCAACAGGCGTCTGCCCACTCCTGCAACACCCCCAGCCAGTGCCAAGGTCAGAGCAACCCTGAGGGCAACCCTCGCCCCCAGCCACCTCCAGCCATAGACTGACGGCATTCCCACCTGCCACTGCACCCCAAGTCCCCCACAGCCACCCATCCCCAGGAGGCCTGGCCCAGAGCAGAATGGAGGAGCTCGGTGCAGCGGCTTCCCCACCTGCAAGCCAGGATAGGGCAGGTCACACTGCCTGACCTCCAGAGCTGTGCCACTCACTGTCCTGTACACATCTGGAGCTGAGATCTGCCTTGTCTCATTTTATCGCCCAACCCATTTATGCATTCATCCATCCGCTTGGTCCTTTGTTCAAGTACAGGTATTAAGTGCCTGCCTCTAAGAGCCAAACCCTCTGAACTAGCTGTTGGATCTGTTGAAATCCTCCATCTTCCAGTTTAAATGCTTCCTCCTCCTCCAGGGAGCCTTCCTGCAAGCAGGGGACTACTCCCTTCATTTCCTGTGTGCTAAGAACACTGATTCTACCTTATCCCAGTTCCCTTGTTCTGTTGTGAGCTCCTGCGAGGGCCAGAGCCAGGCCTTCCTCATTTTTTGTGTTGGCTCTTCGCAGGCTCCTTAATTGTACTACCTAGGCTGGTGAGCTCTCTGTGGCCTTGAACCCCATCTGTTCCATGCTGGGATCCGCGCAACTCCGGCCTATAGCCCTGCCCTTAGATTGCTCCCTGAAATTGCCCCTTTTGTTTGTTCCACGCTGCCCTCAGGGTTGAGAAGGAGAAAGGCCCGAGGAGAAAGAGACTGAGACTGGCTGCACAGTGGGGGCTGACTTAGACCAGGGCCCAAGGGCAGCGCCGAGACAGAGCTTCCTGAATGCTTATGGCGAATTCTCGGGGAGGGGCAGCCGCTGCAGAGGAAGAGGCCCCCCAGCAAGGCTGAGTGTACTAGAGAGAAGGTTCCCTAAGAGATGAATTAGCTGATTAACTTTCCAGCAGATGGCACATGCAAGAGCAGTGAAGGGCAGCTGGTGTGTGGAAAGAAGGGGGTCTCTGAAGCTGGGGGAGGGGAAGGCCTCCAAGGACACAGGGAACCAGGGTCTTCTCCCTTGGGGGCCCCGGGCAAGCAGGAGGGTGTGCTGGCACGTGCCCACGGGCTTCTGAGCTGCCTTGGGGCAGGTGCCAGGCTTGGAGGGCTGTGCCTGGGCTCTCCACCTCAGAGCAGGAGCACAAGAGGAAAGACTCCAGTGTGGTGGAGAGTTCAGTCTGGCTCCAGAAAAGCTCCCGACTGAAAGGCTTGGTTGAGAAGCGGCTGCAGTGGATTTCCCCTGGGAGATGATGTGGCATCTTTTCTTTGTGCTCAGTTGTAACTTTGCCGCAGGGGGAAGACGCAGGGGACAAATCTAAAGCCGTTGGGAACCAGGGACCGGCTTCTCGGGCCAGGGAAGCAGGGAAGACAGCACTCTGCTGGAGGAAGTGCCCTCTGGGAGCCTGCCCCCCCCCCCCGCCCCCCGCCCCAGGTGCACAGGGTTCCTCCCCCACCCCGACAAGGAGTGGAGATCAGCAGGAAGTGGGAGTGATGGGGAAACAGGCACAGAGGCTCCCACCTTCTTCCAGCTCTCTGCTGGGGAGACGGGACAGCTGCTGGGTGACCACCCCACCTCCCCAACAGGCTGTCTCCTCCAGGGGGCCTCCAGGCTGCCTTCGTTCCTGCTCTCTGGGGGCTCCTAACACGGGGAGGAGGAAAGTTCCTGATTGTCTGGGCTGTGCCTTCACCCCTGATTGAAGGGAGGGAGCAGGTAAGCTCAGCCTTCCTTCCAGCTGGCTCTGTGCAGGGTTCCAGACTATAAGCGACCATCTTGGGGCTGTGTCAAGACAGAGAAGGAGCAGTGGATACTGAGTCCAGTTCTAAGGACCCGGGAGCTGAGGGAGGCTCGGCCACCTGGGTGCTGACCCTGCATTTGTTGCTCATTTCTCTAACCCCAGCTTCCTCCTCTGACAGGAGAGGGGCTGTAGGAGGAAGAGCTGAGGCTCAGACCACTCTCCTGGGCTGCCTCTCAGCTGGCCTTGGGCAAGCATGTTATTTCTCTTTTCGGACAGTGGCCCATGAGAGTCTTAGCTTTTATATTTGATCTTTGGCCATGCAGGGTCCCTTCTCAGTATTTCTCTGCTCAAAGTCCCTTTCCCGTGCTCCAGGATATCCAGGAGAGTCTAAAACTCAGGATTAATCAGGAAGAAAAAGGGCAACAACCCAACAGAAAAGACGGACAAAGGCATTAATAGTTCTGAGAAAAAGAAACGCCAAAGCCCTTAAGCCTATGAAAAGATGCTCAGCTTCAGTCATCATCAGAGATACAAATCAAAGCTCCACTGAGAATATCACATCTCATCTACAGGACTGTCAGAACCCCCATAGTTGAACAATACGCTCTGATGGCAAGGCTTTAGGGAAACATGCACTCATCACATACAGTGCTCTCCAAACAACACAAAATATGCAACTTCCTAGAAGGGGAGGGAAACCTCCCCTTTCAAATCCAGCTGCATTCATCCTTTGACCTAGCCATGCCATTTCTGGGGCTCGATTCCACAGATACGCCTCCCTGTGTGCAGAGAGACAATGGACAAGGCTATCGGTGTGGGAGACTGGAAGCAACCCACTTGTCTAACAAGAGGGGACTCCATGGCTCCATGGCTCCATCTCTCCGGGGGGCGGGGGTGTGTCAGTGCCACCGTGCTACCCACATTCAGATACTAACACTCAGGGAAGATCTCCAGGTTTTAACGTAAGGCAAAAAGCCCAGGTGGAGAATAATTTTTTTTTTTTTCCTGTAAGAAAGGGAGTGGAATAAGAACACATTTTCTCATTTGTCTAAAGAAATTAGAAGTTTCTTTAATTTAATTTAATTCAATTCTCAGCCCCATCAAGAGGGGGGTGAGAATCAGGGTGAAGAGGGCACGGTGGGCCTGGGATTTCTCTGGGTGTATCTTTTTACAGTTGTGATTTCTCTGGGTCTTTTTTTTTTTTTTTTTTTTTTACAAAGCTTGGACTTTTAAACTCTGTCTTACGTATTCCAAAACTGAAATTAAATTAAAATTTAATCTACAACAAAATGTGAAGTAAGCAAGGCTCAGTGAGCAAGACTGGAATGAGGTCTGCGGATCCACTTGGGCGCTCTTGAAGTCCCCTGCAGAGGAGAAGCACAAGGCCCTGACCCCTGACACTTGGCCCCGACTTCGTGGTTCCCAAGGGGCAGAGGTGTGGGTCGGGCTTTTGCCTTTGGTGTGGATTGCCCACACGTGGGACGGGACTGCCAAGTGTCCCTGGACTTGGGCCACGGTTCTCCTCCCCAGAGTTGCCGAGATGGTACTGAGCCTGAGCCCCTGCCCCAGAGATGGCTGGCTTTGCGGTCACAACCAGCCAAGCCGTGGCCCCTGCCTGTCCTTCTAGAGAAACCTCTGAATGCACTCTGGTCAGGGGCTTCCTTAGGTGAGCAAATGTGTCTTAGATTTGAGGCCCCACTTGCACCCTCTCCCCTGCCAAGCCAGAGGCAGAGAAAGAAAGGGAAGGAGGACTTGGTGGTCCCTGCAGGCTGGGGAAAGGAGCCCTATCGGCCAGGGCACTGGGGGCACCAGAACCCAGCCCCTGCTGGAAGGCTGCCCCGTGCACCAGTCTGGAGGTCAAGGGGCAGAGCATCGCTTAAAGAAAGGCCATTGGATAAGAGACTGGCTGGGGCCTCCCGTGCTGGAGAGCCCACCTATCCCAGGTCCCCCTTCTACAGATGCCGTGGGTCCGGGAGCCCGGAATCCTGGCAGGTATCATCTAGTGTTGCTGCCCTTCTTTCCACTGCCCCTTCCCCGCCCAGTCCCACTTAGCGGACACAAGGCCACCACGCCCACACTTACTGTACTATGTAAGCACAGCCTGCTTGTCTTCCCCGGACTCTGAGTTAGGTGCGTGGCTCCTGGAGAGCGCAGCGCACATCCGTTTTGCACCCCATTCTACCCTGGTGCCCAGCCCACCATACATTACATGCTCGTGACCTAGGCGTGGAATAAAGCGGCGCACAGATGACTGCTCTGAGCAGGGTGGCCCGTGGTGCGGCACGGAGCCCTCGGAGCCGGAGGATGGGGGACGGGGCCAGAGCCCAGACGAGGTGGGAGTCCAGCCTCTCCGCTCCCCCTCCCAGCCCCCGCCCCCTGCCTCCCCGGCTGGCCGCTCCAGTGGGCCCTGTACCTGCAGCGTGTTGACTGGGAAGGTGCTGATGGGTGGGAAGTCGAGGATCTGGAGGTCGTGCACGTGGCCGTTCATGACGACGGCAGGCAGGTAGAGGCGGCGGGCAGTGGTGGGCACGCAGGCCTCGCTGAACTCGTTGTACAGGAACTGGCGCACGATGGCACTCTTGCCCACGCCTCGCGCCCCCAGCACGGCCACCCGGTAGGTGGAGACCATGCCTCCCGCCCCGCTCCGCCACCGCGTCCTCGCCGCTGCCTGGGGCTCCCCCGGGCTGCATATTCCAGGGGCTGGGGGCTCAGCCACCGTCAGGACCCACCATTGCTGCCCCTGCTTGCCCTGGGCCCTCTGCGGCCTCCACCTGGACCGTGGGGACAAGAGGTGGGCTTGGGGGGCCCGCGTTTCCCTGGATCTGTCCTGTACTTGCCCGCCTCGGGGACTCGGCTGCAGCTGCTACTGCCCTTTGGCATGCCTTCCCTTTCCCAGAACACCTAGCTGCATCTCGAGCCTCTCCATCCTCCCTTCTCCGTCCGCCCCCCAGCACCACACACCCACCGGTGGGAATCACTCTTTCCTGTATTACGGCCTCTTGGCCAGGTCTGACCTCCCCAAGCTCCCCAAGCTCCCCAAGCTTCCCCACAGAGCCCGGGGCGTGGGCGGGCGGGGGGAGCCGAGTCCAGTGTGTCTCAATGGAGGCACTCCCAGCATTTCGAGGAGAGAGTTCTTTATTGGGCAGCCCGTCTTACAGCCCTGCTGCTAGGAGGTACCAGCCAGCAGCCGGCTCCAGTCACCATGATGACCAAAAACATCCCCTACTTCCAAATGACCCCCATTGAGAACCCTGGACCAGAGCCTGCCACTCATAGAGCACTGCATGTTAGCACACGCACATGGTGACCCATCGTCAGGATGGTGTCCCTCAGGGATAGCAGGCATTCCCACTTTAGGGAAGACTCAAGAGGGGGTGAGAAGTGGGCCCAAGGGCACACGGCAAGCAACGGCAGCTACTCCCCGCCACAACGTTGCAGTACCTCCCACCTCCAAGTTCAGCGATTCTAGCTGGTGCATGCCTACAGACCAAGGGCTACGTCTCATTCCCTGGCATCCCCCGCGAGCTCAGAGGGCCTGGCACACAGCAGGTGCCCAGGAAAGGGCTGCTACAGCCTTGCACCTTGCTCTGGGTTCGTTCACTCCTTGTTTGCTCAGTTTTGGTGACTTTAGAGCTTAGGTATAAAACCCCAGCTATGACGTTTCCTAGCTGTGGTCCGAGGGCACATCACCTGCCCCATCTGAGCTACGCTCTGCACGTATATAAAGTGGGGCTAATAGCCCCTATTTCTGAGATAATCCAAGTCAACCTGCTAACCAGCTGCCTTCTCCTTCTGATGGGGATGGTGACCAGGGAGGCTGGTATAAGCCTGAGACCGCCTGTCCAGGGACTGTTCGCAGGAGGGTGACACCAGTGCCTGCTACATGGGCCCAGGGCAGATGGGTGTGCTGGATTCCCACAGGGCCATGCTTTTCAGCATGTGTGCGTGTCTTCTCTGTGGATGCGTGTTCTTTCCATATATGCCCAGTTCACAGCTGAATGGCCCTCACTCTGGCCTGGCTCAGAAAATCCAGTCCACTGGGTATGTGTACATACAGCATAGTAAAACATAGCGCAGGATTTGGGGTGAGACCCACCACGGTCTGACTCCTGGCTCTGCCACCTAAAGTGTGTCCTTGGGCAAGAAACTTTGTTGGGTGTTGTGATGCCATGAAAGCGAGGTCATGAAAAGTAAAGCCCAGTACCCACAACAGCTGTGCAATTAACAGGGGCCACTGTTAGGTACAGGGATCCTTCACCTCTCTGAGGTTTTCTCAAATCTCAACGGGACTCCTAGCAATCCCAGGAAGGGTCACTAACCACTGTTGCTCACGTACATGTAGTGTGGTGTGTGTGTGTATGTGAGACACACAGAGAGAGAGAGAGACTCTTCTCCCCGTTTTATTGAAAGTAATACCGAAACCCCAAACCAGAGACTCAGGGAAGTGTAGACCACACAGCCAGCTGAGCTATCAACTAAGACTAGGACCCTGATCTCCTTTCTGCCCCATGTGGTGTCCTTTCCCCAACAGGTGTTACCTACTTCCCTGGGCTTCCCCCTGGGGTAAGGACTGGTCCCTCCTCCCCATAAATCCCTCCAGGCCCTGGGCCCCTCAGGCCTCCCTGGGCACTGTCAGCTTGGCAGAGAGCCTCAGCTGGGTTAATTACATAACCAGCACAAGCAGGTGGGGAGGGGGGCACCCTGGGGGAGGAAGAGAGGGCAAGGAATGCAAGAAGAGTTCCCTACCTCTCTCTGGATGTGGCCACTTAGAGGTATCTAGGATGTGTCCTACCTGCAGATTCTCCCGGACGCCACACTCCCTTTGCAGAAATCAACCCTTTCTGGAGAAGAGCTGGGAAATAAACGGGGATAGTGCTGGAGCCAGGGAGGGGAACGCAAGAGAGGCCAATAGGCTGGGGCCAGCCTCCTGGAACTCACCAGGCCCAAGTGTGGCCCTGTCCCTGACTCAGGCAGGGGTGATGGGTGCCCTCTCCCTCTTCTCAGGCAGGGGTCCTGGGTCTAACTGCCTATTAACCCACCGTCCCTAGCTGGGTGGGGACTGAAGGGGGCTGTCCCGAGAATCAGGGCCCAGCCCCCTGAGCGCTCCCTCCCCAAGGCCTGCGCTCTGCAGTGAGTCTGCAGACAGCGCCCCGGCAAGAGACCGGGGACACACACTGGGGCCAAAGCCTGCTTCTTGTCCCCTCCGCTCGACCTGGACACACGAGTCCTGCCCCAGACGGACGGGCCTGGCTTTGCGGTCCCATGGGCCGAGTCACATGTCTGCCCGCTGTTTGTCCCCACACGTTCGTGTGGGAGTGGGCGGGTGGGGGCGTCGGAGGCTGCTGGGCTCCCCATGACCTGATTGGTGGGAGTCTGGGGGGGATGCCGGAGCCCTGCCCGCTCTCCGCCTCCAGCGCCTTGCAGGCACCCCCCACCCCGCGCAAGCTCCCGCTCTCACGTGGCCGCCCCGCGCCGCTTCCCCGCCATCCCGCCGGCCCCCTCCGCCCTCCTCGCCCTGGCCCCCAGGCCCCGCCGCCCCGCTCCCCCTCACCGCCGCCCCCCACCCCGGCCCTGCCCCGCCCGCCTCCCCTCCTCCCTCCGCTTACCCGGGGCCGTCCTAGCTGCCCCCGGCCCTGGCCGGCCGGCCGGCGGCGCCGCGCTCCCCCCGGGCTCCGGCGCTGCCCCTCGGCTCCCCGGCCCGGGGGGAGAGGGGTGGGGGGCGCCCCCGGCTGCCCAGTCGGCGCGGGTTCAGCGGCGGGCGCGGAGGACAGGTGCGGGCGCCAAGGGGGCAGGAAACCTCCAGCCCAGCTCTCCCTCCGGAGCGCGCCGCCCGCTCGCGCCGGCAGGAGGGAGGCGGAGGGGAGCGCGAGGCCGGGCGGTGGGGGGGGGGGGGGGTCGGGCTGGCGTTCCGCTGGGTCCCTGAGCCTGACAGATTAGCCCGCGCGGCCCTGGAAGAATTCTTCTTGAACCCCGAGCCTCGATTTGCAGCCCCTCCCGACTCAGCCTGCCAAATTTTTAGCTCCCCCCCTCCCCACGGAGGGGAGGGAGGAAGGCACGAGAGAGGCCCTAAAGGCTTCTGCTTCGTTCCATTCCTTACCCCTCCACCCCGCCGCCCACCACGTCCACCCCAGCTTCCCTCCCTAGATCTCCCTCCGACCCTTCCAGACCAGTGCGCTGCCGGGGGGGGGGCCCCCCCTGGCCCCCCCCCCCCCCTGGGGGGCAGGGGGCCCCCCCCCCCCCCCCCCCGCCGAAGGACAGAGCGCACGGTGGTCCCTCTCGCCCTTCGCGGCAGCAGAGTGCAAGAAGGGCGGGCCAGGCTGGCCGCAGAGCACAGCTTATCTCCTGCCAGTGAATGACCTCCACTCCCCTAAACCGACTGCTCCTCTCTCTTCTCCAGACCGGGAGATAGCAGCATTTGCCAGGGATGCAGGCATAATTAGCAATATATTCATTCTCAAACCAGCGGCGACGGCGGCGTTCACCATGGATAGCTAGCATTTAGCGGGTGTGTACCCTGTGCCGCACACCGCGCTCCCGGCTTTGCCCGCGTCCTCAAATTCAATCCTCGCAATTCTAGGAGGTTGATTTTACAGATGAGATAGCCGAGGCTGAGAGGGGCCGAGTAACTCGTCCTACTGAAAGGCCAAATTTGGAATACAGACCCAGCAGCACTAATTATGTGCTGCGTGAAAAGCCAAGGTTCTGGAGGAGTGCAGAAGGAGGGGACCAACTAGTTAGGGGAGTCCGGAGGCTCAGAGGAGTCAACTTTGAAGGTTGTGGGAGAGGAGAGCTACAGGTGAGAGAAGGTGGGAGCAGGTGCAGAGCTTTGCAAAGGGAGTCCAGGAAGCAGAGAGCCCAGGGGGCTGGGAGGCCGAGAGAGGGGTTGAGAGGTCTCAAAGGTGGTGATTGCTAGGTAAGGAGTTCGGACCTGGCCCTGTGCCGGGCCGGAAGGCCGGGAAGGGTCCTGAAGCAAGGCAGCGACCTGGCCAGAGTTGTATTTTAGTTGCCTGTGGGCAGGGGGGAGGCCGGGGAAGCTCAGAGCGCTCTCCCGTGCTCTACCCCTGGGACTCAGCATTCCCCAACACGGCTTTCTAGACTTTCTATTACTCGTGGGCTCCAGATTCCTCACAGAGCCAGTTTCCTCCTCCCTTTGGGCTCTGCATTTTGGGCATGTTCCCAATTGCTCCTCCTCCCTCTCCCATCCAGACAGAAAGCGTAGTGGTTATGAGCCTGGGCCTCTGAATCGGACAGCTCTGGATTTAAATCCTGGCCCTCCTGCTTACTACGTGACTGTGAATGAAGGCGCGGAACTTGAACTCTCCTAACTTATTTGAAAAGTGGAGATGTGATCAGTCGTCCTCAGGGCATAAAGGAGCTATGGGGGTACAGAGCTCTTAACCGCAGTGCCTGACCTGTAGGAAGTCTCAATGTATGGCCTTTATTTTTTGGTGCCTTTTTAAAAGACAAATAGCCATTCACATGGGAGGTTGGACACCACCTTGAGAAAGCATTTCCATTTATTCTAGGTGGGCTCCTAGGGCATTGGGGTGGGGTATGACAAGGACCAGGGAAACAGCTAGAAACAAATACAGGGCTGAGAAGGATATGGCTTCCTCCCGGGAATATTCCTCCTGCAAGATTTTATGGACCCTTGTGTGGTCACAACAGGGTCACCGAGAGCTTTTCCTAACTTGACTAATTGTCCAGGGCACTGTCCATCCTCCGTTGTATCTCAAAATCGTTAATGCTTACTCTGCCCAAGGATCTCAGACTTTATGTCTACCCCCCTGGCCATCACCCTCCCTTCTGGTTCTATTTCAGCCCAAGGTGGACTAGAAATATAAATTGTGCAATGCTCACACTCACACCTTGGCGCCAGGCTTCTCAGAAGCTTCTCCTGCTAGAACACAAAGCCATAGGTTATGGGATCTCATCCTTGCCTTCAGTGGTAGGTCATTTAAAACATTATTTCATAAAAAACAAGCAGCCATAATATTAACATAAAATGCAAAATATGCCTGAATTTAACATTTAGCTAAGTCATTTTGGTTTTTTGAGAGTCACTTTGGGCTAAGAACTTACACCAGAGGGGCCTGCTCACTCTCCTCTCATTACAATTACCTTGGTGAAAAGGTTTGAGAGGCCCTGACCTTGGGTCTGTCTGACCTTGAGCCTCAGGTGGCTCTGGTTCAGCTGGGGATGCCTGAGATGCAAGCTCAGACTCTGGGGGAGCAGATGGGTGGATCCACTTGTAGCATCCGAAGCCCCAACCTCTAAGTGGGACAGAAGAAACAAAGACCATGCACTCCACCCCTTGCACCCCATCACAGCTGAAAATGCCCCTGAGCTTTCAAGAGGCTGTTTGGCCAGATTCTGGAGCCTAAGAGCGGAAGTGGAGAGTGAATGAAACCAGGGAGGGAAAGCCAGAGGCTGCATACGAACATCCTCCACTAATACCTATATGGCGGGAAGAAGCTGCTGAGCGGTCCTCTCTCAGTCCCGGAGTGCTGGGGCAGTCCTATTCCAAAGCAGTACTTTGGGAGATTAAGTCCATCTGGGTCCAAGCAACCCCCAAATCAGCCTTCCCCTTGTTGGCAGCATCAAGAATGGCAGGGCAAACGCTAAATGAGAAACTGAGACGGCAAGTTTGCAGCCAACTCGGAAACTTTTCAAGAAACATCCTTGTTGCTAATAACATGTCTGGGGGCTGGTTGGGATTCTAGGATTAGTGCTCAGGAGATAGAAACGGGTAACAACGGGGGAGGTGTGATCTTTCCCAAGTGCCACACCAGGTATTAAAATAAACAGGCTCTTGCCTCCTGGAGCTGGGGGTGGCAGGGAAAAGAAATCTGGGTCCAGGCAAAATCAGAAAAAGCATCAATGCATGAGGTGGGAGTAGGAGGGCTCAAACCCGGGAGTCCTCAACCGTTTTCAGGTGAAAAGTGAAGATAATGCCGGATTCATGGGGTAGGCAGGTATCGTGTGCATGAAAAGTGCTTTACCATTTTTCTTTTTTTTTTAGTATGATTCCAGGCAACTTGCATTTTATTTGGCAACTTCGTGGGGGTTTTTTTGGTTATTTTTAAAAACTGAAATATAGCTGACATACAATATATTCCTTTCAGGTGCACAACAGTGATTCGACAATTACACACATTATGAAATCTTCACCACAGTATGTGTAGTTACCATCTGTCACCACGCAAAACTTTCACATCACTGACAGTATTCCCTACGCTGTTCACCCCGTGACTTATTTTATAACAAAGTTTGCACCTCTTAATCCCCTTCCCCTATTTCTGATACCCCCCACTGTCCCAGTGCTTTAGCATTTTTTCACCTGTAACAGGAACACCAGCATTCCTTTAAGTAGGCACACAGGTGTGTCTTATTCAGGCAGTTGATTTTCAACCCCAGCTGCAGAGTGGAAACACCGGGAGTTTTTTTAAATGCATATTTCCCCCAGGCCCCACCCCAGCCTGGCTGAGCGGAAATCATCAGTTTTTGAAACCTGAGATGTGGTATTAACAAGCACCCGGGGTGAGAGCCTCTGGTGGGGGGGTGGGGGGCGAACAGCCAGCTGTCAGTGGAGCATACCACTCTTGACCTCAGGGTTGTCGGTTCGAGCCCCACGGAAATTAAAATCTTAAAAAAAAAGTTGAGAGCCTCTGCCCTGAAAGTTTGCCCAACCTGAAATTATTCTTAGTTGGTGAATCCAGACGGATCTCAGGAAGGCCCATCCCTCTTCATTTCTTTGACCTTGAACCTCAACAAAGACCACCCTGGCCCCACTACTTCCCATGCCATTCCTGTCACAGCTTGAGCTAACTGCAAACCAGCAGCATGGTGACAAGCAAGAAGTTGCTGGCTGCCAAAGACAGTTCGTTCATGGAGTTTGGACACCCAAGTAGAAAAGCAGCTACTGCTGAACACTGAGCAAAGCAGCTTACACACATTCACTCTAGCGGTGACAGGTTCGGGGACGAGTCTACGGGCATCTTGGTGATGGATCCCTCAGCCTCCTTCCCCCACTCCAGGTTGAGAGAGACTACGGAGGCCTTTGCTCATCAGAATCTAGGGTGGGGCCTCTAGCTTGACAACACCTGGGTCCTGGGCTCCTGCAACGCAGGTGACTAGACTTGAACTCCTAGGGAAGCTTGCTTTCAAGCCTTAATTCTATTCACTTGGGAACACACGAGCCCTGAGCTCAGTTCCCAGAGGTTTTTTATACATTTCGGGATGAATCGTCCTGGGTAACAGGAAAACTGGTGAGTAGCTCTGCTGGGCTGCTTCTGCTGTGGAACCATGGGCCTCAGGCCCTAGCAAGGGACCTGCCAGGGAAGAGACTGGCTCCTGCGAGCACTTCCTGCCTGTGGTGCTGACATGGGGCTTGGTTAACAGGAGCCTCCGCAAAAGGTACAGGATTCTTCCTCAGGTCAATCTTAATTTCATCTGGCTAAATCCCTGGGAGGGTTGGGGCCACTGAAAGAAAAGTTCTAGTGGTATGGTTCTTAATGCCCCATCCCTCTCCTGGGCAGCAGTGTTGTGTCCTAGAGCGTCCGTTCTGGGAACAAAGTACATACCACAAACTTCATTTTGTGTAAATGAGTTTATTGATGAAGACACAAGGTCAAGCTTCCCCCCCAA